TATTAATAAATATAAAAATTTATATAGAATTAAATTGTTTTTTTTTTTACATTATTTTCTGTATAATTTCTGATTAAGTTAATGATTTTAATCAAAAGTATCATTCATTATCTACATCATCAATGTAAAGAAAAATAATTAAATGCAGTCACATTTTAATCTCTTTATATTATCAATATTTTCTATCAGGACTTGTTATATTCAATTAATATTTAATTAAATATTCATTCAAATACATCAATAATTCAATATTAATTGCTGATTATTATCTATTCCTCAAGCAGTACATAAATAGAAAAATTCAGCAAATAGTTTTATTATTATTATTATTATATAAAATTTATTTAAAAAATAAGAAAAAAGGTGTTTAAAAATATTTTTTATAATTTAAAATAAATTATAAGACATCAAGACATTGAGTGATTCAGTTGTAAACTCATTGAGATTGATGAATATACTTAATCTTGTAGATTATTGATGATATCAGGCTTGAATTATTAGAAAGATAATTTTAATAAATGGATAAAACATTAAAAAAAAATTTTATTTATAAAATTTACAGTTAAAAGAATTTAAGAAAGACAGTTTTTTTTTTTTACAATTTCTTAAAATATTTTAAACTGGAAAAAATAAATATAAAGGGAATTATTGGGGTGTATATTATCATTTGAATTTTTTTGAAAATCAATAAAATGATAATCAAACATAACTTATATAGACAAGCTCTTGGATGAAGAATCCCAAGAGATTTGATTCTCAACAGATGCACAGGAGGAGCCATTCAGAATCGATCCAGCAGTGAAGCAAGTAAATTACTGGCGTACAAAGCTTCCTTATAAAAACACAGTAACAATCAATAATCGTATTTTCTCTTGTAAAATAATGTACTTTTTTTTTTATTTTCATTATTTCAATAATGTTAAAAGATGTGAAGTGTATAATTGTCAAAAAATTTAATTCATTTTTGTTAAGAGAAGGGAAAAAAAANATTCAAAAACAAAATGGAAAATTAAATATGATTATATTTAATTTAATTTAGAATATTTCTAAAAAAAATTCACGAGTAGAAGATTTAAAGGAGGAACTTATATAATGAGATTCCAGTTATCCTAACATCATTTTTTTACACCCATTGTAAAGTATATTAAAATAGCAAATTACGGGAAAATTTTATACGGGAAATGACATAGAAACAATCGAAATTAACTGTTAAAGTAGAAAAATTTCAATAGTTTTCATGTTTATTAAACTAGAAAGCATTGTTATCCAACTGGAAACCATATGATACGCAAGAGCAGCAAATTTGCATATCTGGTGCTCTAAAAGTCTCAAATAAATAAATAAATAAAACATTTGATACTTTATCGAAGAGACGGATTAATTTCTAAATATCCATATTTATTTAATTCAAAGAATAAAATAGAAATCGATAAACATATTTAAGAATTCTAAAGGTATAAAAGATTGTTATAAGAAATACCCAGTCGACCCCCCCTATAACACTGTTGATTATTCCGTTTTATATGAATTCCATGTTGTACGAGTCACTTAGATTTTTCAAATACGTGTGTCGGGCTGTAAACGGCCCACGTATTTGTAAAATCTAAGTGACTCGTACAACATGGAATTCACATAAAACAGAATAATCAACAGTGTTATGAGGGGTCGACTGTAGATAGCATTTTGTAAATGATCTGATAATGCCAAAAGTATAAAGTTTCTTATGGTGGAATAATGAAAAATCTGTTATTATTTGTTTTTTTTTATGTATTTTTATGATTAGGAGGAGGTAGAGGGACCATAATTCTGGCTCAGGCCTCATCTCTCTCTAACATATTATAAATAAATATAATATTAGGATATAAACTCTAGTTACAATGATTTCGAATTGTGTAAAGTAGAAAGGTCTATTCTCTTAGAAAACAACTAAATAACATTTACAGTAATCAAACAAGAGAAATCCATTAAGTAAAACTATATACATGTCAATGCAATAAAAATAATTAATTCCTTATAAAATAGCATAAAATTACAAATAAAATATATTTTCTACTTATTAAGATTAACATTTTTTTAAAATAAACAAAATAATGGATACTTAATTTACAGGTTATATTTTGTATGTTAAATTAATATTAAAAATATATTCTTAAATTTTAAATTTAATTATGGTTATAATTAATATTCANGTTTACATATTTTTTTTTTTTTTTGGAGGAGGATTTTATACCAGTTGAAAACATTTTATTTTTTTCAGAACATGGTAAAGAATTTTTCTATAAAAGCATTTATAAATTGTTAATAATAAATGCAATTTGAAGTGAATATAGTAAATAAACAAGCTTATACAAAGGGTTTTTCTTAAATTAAGTTTTTAACCTTAATAAATCTTAATAAAAAGCTTTATATATGTATTGAATTATTTATAAATGAATTTTATGTTTTGATATATATATATATTTTTTCTTTTATTAAGGGGCTTTTAAACTTTATGATGTCGATAATGATGGTTATATAACGAGAGAAGAAATGTATAGCATTGTTGATGCTATATACCAGATGCTGGTGAGTTTTATTGTTAAAAAAAACAGTTGTAAACCATTAATATTGCTGGAAAAAAATAGGAGAGAAAAGAAAAAAAATAACTTTCTGAATCTAACGTAATATCATTTACACAAGTTTCGTGTATTATTTAAAGAGTGTGGATGTACCAAGAAAAATACTTTCATAAATCGATATGTAGTAAAGTGCTTTTTGTATAAATAACAAAATAAAAAAAATTAAAATTGTTATTTTTTAAATGACAATTTAAATAAAAATCATAATTCTTAAAAATGAATCATCATAATTATCGTTAACTTTAAATTATGATGAGTTATATACAAATATTTTGATGATTAAAATTATTTCCATCGAAAATACGTTTAATTTCCTGTATTTAAATCTGATTGGTTAAATTTGAATTTTAAATTAACCGATCATCGTGTCGGTTACTTTTTTTCTTTCTCTTTCCTCTCTCTGTTTGACGAAAGAATAAGAAAAGGAAAATAAATAAAATATATTTTTGTTAAAATAAATATGTTTACATGTTTAAAAAAAATAGCATTTACATTTTAAATATACAATTAAACAATATATTTGAGCAATTTAACTTAATTTTTATAATTTAAGCAAATTAAAATTTTAAAATATATGACTGATATTGATATATTTCTCGGCATTTAAATCTGATTGGTTAAATTTGAATTTTAAATTAACCGTCGTGCAGATTAAATTGTTTATATATTTTTTTTATTTTTAAAAGTACTTTATTTCATTTTATTTATTTGAAGTTGACTTTGATAGCTATTATAGTTTACAAGTCTAAAATAGCATTAAGTTAAATAGAATAAAACTATAAAAAAAAACACCCACCTTTCGTAACGTAAATATTATTAATTTTTAATATAGGGTACCCAAACTAGATTTGAGAATGAAGAAGATAATCCCAGGCAGAGAGTTGATAGGATTTTCGATCAACTGGATAAGGTAATGACGTCAGCAAATGTATTACCTTGTGTAACTTGACAAGAAGGGTCTATCCAATTGTATTAGTTGGCAATAGGTGCTATTGACTTTAGTCTTCTTTCCATTACCTTTAACTCATAATGTCAACAGGATTGAAGTCCTGGCGTGGTATTCTCTAATAACAAAAGAGAGTTCTAATTATATTTAATTAATTAATGGCATTAATTAAGTATTTTAACATCTTATATAATTTTATAAGTGTATTTTATTTTTTTATTTGATTTTCAGAATCATGATAATAAATTGTCCTTAGAAGAGTTCAAAGAAGGCTCGAAACATGATCCCAAGATCATTCAAGCGTTGACATTATATGCTCCCTAGGTTGCACATTATGCCTCTGGAATTTTATTACATATCATTGATATAATGATTGTTTTTTTCTCTTCATTCTCCCATTTGTCATTGGCCAAAAGAAAAGAAAAAAAAAGCAANTTAAATCTGATTGGTTAAATTTGAATTTTAAATTAACCGATCATCGTGTCGGTTACTTTTTTTCTTTCTCTTTCCTCTCTCTGTTTGACGAAAGAATAAGAAAAGGAAAATAAATAAAATATATTTTTGTTAAAATAAATATGTTTACATGTTTAAAAAAAATAGCATTTACATTTTAAATATACAATTAAACAATATATTTGAGCAATTTAACTTAATTTTTATAATTTAAGCAAATTAAAATTTTAAAATATATGACTGATATTGATATATTTCTCGGCATTTAAATCTGATTGGTTAAATTTGAATTTTAAATTAACCGTCGTGCAGATTAAATTGTTTATATATTTTTTTTATTTTTAAAAGTACTTTATTTCATTTTATTTATTTGAAGTTGACTTTGATAGCTATTATAGTTTACAAGTCTAAAATAGCATTAAGTTAAATAGAATAAAACTATAAAAAAAAACACCCACCTTTCGTAACGTAAATATTATTAATTTTTAATATAGGGTACCCAAACTAGATTTGAGAATGAAGAAGATAATCCCAGGCAGAGAGTTGATAGGATTTTCGATCAACTGGATAAGGTAATGACGTCAGCAAATGTATTACCTTGTGTAACTTGACAAGAAGGGTCTATCCAATTGTATTAGTTGGCAATAGGTGCTATTGACTTTAGTCTTCTTTCCATTACCTTTAACTCATAATGTCAACAGGATTGAAGTCCTGGCGTGGTATTCTCTAATAACAAAAGAGAGTTCTAATTATATTTAATTAATTAATGGCATTAATTAAGTATTTTAACATCTTATATAATTTTATAAGTGTATTTTATTTTTTTATTTGATTTTCAGAATCATGATAATAAATTGTCCTTAGAAGAGTTCAAAGAAGGCTCGAAACATGATCCCAAGATCATTCAAGCGTTGACATTATATGCTCCCTAGGTTGCACATTATGCCTCTGGAATTTTATTACATATCATTGATATAATGATTGTTTTTTTCTCTTCATTCTCCCATTTGTCATTGGCCAAAAGAAAAGAAAAAAAAAGCAAAAAAAAAAAAGNATAAAAAATTATTTGTCAAAAAGGTAAACAAAAAGCTAGAATTACAAGGAAGAGTTTAAAAATTCGGAGGAATACTATCTGATTGGTATCGGGTTGAGCGTCGATGTTGACGTCTCCCGCGCTCTGAAAGGTTTCGAATTGTTACCTGAAAACAAGGTAAAATCAATCGGTATTCATTATTTTCCGTCGCTTCTTTTTATGTTTGTTCAGTAAAGTGTTCGTTATCCGAACATGTGTTTGTTGTCTGATCATAAAAATCTTTTGCGAAAGTGTTCGTTATCCAATTTGTTCGCTATCCAAACTGTTTGTTTACCGATCATCCACTGTATTTTTTTAAATTTAAAAACAAATATAAATAAGAAGATAGTAATATTGGAGAAGTATTTTGTATTATTTAATACTTTTTAAATCAAAGTTTTAGTTGAAGATTATTTTTTAAATTGCTGAAATTATTAATATATTTATTTTATGACTATATTATATAATTATAGAAATTATTATATCAAATTTTATGTAACAAACTAGTATTGAGAGAGAATAAATAAGATTTAATCTGAAAAAAAAAAGGATATTAAAATTTATTTTTAAGGTATAATATCGAATTCTTAAAGTTAAAAATGTAAGAATCTTATGCTATTAATTAATAATGTTAATTAATTCCTTCATTCAAAACTTACCTAAAATAAAAAAACACTGATTACTAATAGCAAAATATTTTTAGATGTATTTTCAATCTAAAGTTAGTATTGTATCATGCACTACATTTGCTAAAACTATTTACTAAATGTCTCATAAAATACATAGAAGCTTAAGCATCTACCTACCTCTACTTTTATAATTAAAGAAAAAAATATATCATATAAAATTCATAAAATTATCAATTTAAATGGAGAAATTATACATCTATGATTAAAAACTTTTTTTTTTACAGAAAAAAAAAAGAAATATTAAAAACAGAAAAAAGGATAAAATTGAGTATTTATCTTTCATTATATTATTTAGTTAAAATCTTTCATATTCAGTTATTATAATAAATAATTAGCCAATAGAATTTCACATACTTTTTGTTTTTAGAATACTGTTTAATTGTTTGAAAATATTTGTAATTTAGAATTCACTGATAAAAACAGGTTAAAAGTTAACAGTTATAGTGTTATGATTTCTAGCTTTTAAATTTGCCGATAAAATTGTTTCTTTCTCCAATTATAATGCTATTTCTAGTTTATTTAATGAGAAACAATTTTTTAACATTACATTATAATGAAATTAAGGATCCTTAAAATGTTATTATACCTACTTGATATATATGCAGAATATTAACTGTTTATTTTACATCTGCTTCACAGGCTAATAAGCACATTCACTTTACCATTAATCATTGATTTGCTTGCACCAATAACCTTGCATACTATTACATTAGCTTTGCTATATATGTTACATTTAGCAATTCCATGACAGATTCCTTGAGAAAGCCTCATAAATGAACTGTAACTAACTACAAAAGAGTGCTTATTAGCTTGAGAGGCAATTATCCAAGCAGACATTTATGATATGTGTAACGGGTGTCAAGCAGTGATGCATTTTTTGTTTTGTCTAAGGATATTATGATGTGATTTTTAATAAATTTTTTTCACTAAACCTTAAGGAATAACTTCTAATTGGAGATAAAATAAGTTGACCAAGTAAAATTAAAAATTAGACTATCCATTCCATTTATTAATTGTTATATGTTACATAAACTAAATTTATAGCTTTTAAATAGTGAGTAATTTTAAAAATTTTCCTATGCCAAAAGTTACACAAAAATACAGTTGATTAAGTTGCAATATTCTGAAAAAAATAAAATATTGTTATAGGGAAGATATCAAATTAACAAATGATAATTGGCAATTTTTGTATTAATACTAAATTTGTATAAAAAATTTTATACTTAATGTCTTCAAAATTCTTAATACTTAATGTCACAAAAAGCTTTCACATTTAATGATGTCAGTCAGACTATCCATTATTCCCTATAGTAATAAATCTATTACTTTAAATAAACTTTTCATTTAGGCATAATTCTACTTTTAATACATATTTATACACTGTCTACATTAAAGATAAAACATTCTGTGAGAAACATTTTTGGCTATTCTATAACTGGTTTCAGCTTTCAATGAATACAAAGCAACTACAAACTGTATTCTAAACTTAATGAATTAATTTTAAATTTGTATTCTACATTGCTGATCTGTATTCAAGCTAAGGATGGCCAAAAACATTATCATATAAAGGAAAATTCTGATTTTCTGAAGAATGGATTTATCTTAAAAATCAATATTTATAAATTATTTTTATTTTTATTATTGAATTAAAATTGGCAAATTTTTAAAATTATTTTTTCATTCTTTTGTTTCTTATTTTACATAACTAGGCAATTTTCAAATTAAAGTACATGTTATCAAAATTCTGTTTTGGAAATTACACTAATTTCATTTGATATCCTAAAAGTTTTTATTATCATTTATTTTCTGATAGTGGCTGGGTGGATGAAATCACTGAACACTAGTAGTTGGTTGTGGGTTTGCACCTGACCAATAGGCTGGCAACATGGATTTTCCTGGTATTCTTTACATGCTTAACACCTAAAAGGGTCCAGTTTTCCATTGAAAGTCCTCCCAAGAGGCATCTTCCCTTAGGAATGATTGTCCTTGGCATCCAAGGACAATCATCCCAGATAGCCCATATGTTGCATTGCTGTGTTCCATCAAACCAAACCATTTTTCTGATATTAAAAAATATTTAAAAATTTTTTATGTTCACCATAGCAATGGTTTGAAGTATCTGTAGAATAAATTGTTATAGAAAAATAATACTGTAAATTTTGACAAAGCATTAAAAAAAACATAGCTTAGCCTAACTAATTTTTCAAACAATTATACTATGCTATTTAAAAATTTTTTTAAATTTTAAATTAAAATTGCCATATAATTAATAATAAATAAACTTGCTAAAATTAATTCATTTTTAAATTAGCATATAAAAGTATTTTAACTCAGTAAAATTAACATAATAAAGTGTAATTAGGACATACTGAATATGATGACATATAACATACATATTAAAGTATTTTAATTAAAATTTATTAGGTAACACTTTGGTTAATAAATTAAAATACTTAATTTGTTGATCAAAAAACTGACATTATGGTTCAAATACACTAAATAAAAGAAATCTCAAGTATTTCTAAAATTTCAGCTGGTAAGTAAATTTTTAAATATTAAAATATTTCTATAATCATTAATCATAAACTTTTACTAAATCTTTTTAATCTTAAAATTAAATCACATTTATATCCACTATCATAATATATAGTTGATGTTTAAAATATAGTAAAAGTTTCTAATCATTACTTCCTAGAAAATACACATGTTTATAACAATTTTGAAATGTTTTCTCATTAAAAATATATTTAAAATCGTAATAGATAATTGGCTTTCATTTCTAAAATGAATTTAAATTAATCGGTTTAATGGGAGATAAGTCAAAGCAACACGTGGACGATTGCTAAGGGGGGAAATTTCTATATAAAATGCACTTCTATTTAGGTGTTACACGTGTAGAAAACCCGGAAAACTCCACGCGCAAACCTGTCTGTCAGGTGCGAACCCACGACCAACTAATGGTCTATTCTTAAATTACGTAATGCAGATATGCAGGTAATCGTTACAATGAGTTACGAAGGAGTGGGATGTTTACAGTAACGTTACGTAACGCTACGGTTCTTAATCCTTGGGTAACAGAATGATTTGCGTATGAAGTTTCGTAGAGCGTACCTCCCCAGTACGGCACTTGTACTGTACTGTACAGTACTCCCTATGCAATGTATTATTCCTTAGTATAATTAAAGGGGGTTGATCGAGCATATGCATTACGTAATTTGAG